GAAGAAAGATGTTGTCTGGCCAGACTCAGACAATTATTAAAAGGAATGATGAATGGATTAAAAGAGGAGACACAAGTGTCTTACTCCTCTCTAAACATGTAAACATACAGACATAGAGTGTGGTGAAATCAACATTAGTATGTGTGAAGTAAAGAATCTTACCCAAAGCTCCAAGAGGAGTTCCAAAAGGAGTTTTAATTAAAGCAAATAGCTCCAATAAGACATGAAAACAAATATGAATGAATTTCTGTTTAATTAAAGATGGGCAAATTGTGCTAATGCAAGAGGAACTTATTGTTTTGTGTCCGTCATACAGCAGTGTTGCATAATTTTGTGCTAGTAATTCTAAACCCTGACACTTTACATATAGATACCATTCTTCCTATAATTATAAATACACTTTGATTTTTTGCCTCGTAAATTGTAAATAAAATAAAATGAACTCAGCACAGGCATATACAAGAATTAAATTAGCCTCTGAGTTTCTTGGACCCGGTATACAAGACCAGAGCTGTGCCAGCTGTATTGCTTTTCCCTCTCCTGCCTCACAAGAAATCTAATGCAATAAAAAGGCATATAACCCTATTGCTGCTAGCTATCACTTAGTGCTGAGCAATACATGGGGCAAAATAATGCACCAAAATAATAGAAACAGGAGACTGAACAAATTCCCATTCCAAAACCAAGGTGAAAAGGCAGAATCCAATAATCTACTTCTGAGCACCATTAGGGAAGTAGAATTTCTAATAGCAAAAGTTAATGAAATTCTGGCCCTCTTATGTGGGTGTAAAGAGGCCCTGAAAGAATTGGTTCTGGCTGGAGCAGGATTCCCCTGACTCGCTTACTGAGGTGACTGCCATAAATCTGCCCTCTGATGACCCCCCCCAACCCACCCCGAAGGCCACTGGAGGTGGGAGGGCATGTCAGGTAAGGTGAACAACTTTCTAATTTGTGAAAACTGGACACTGAGCGCTGGAACCTGCCCTGCACCCTGCTCCACCTCTTTCCCTCGAGGCCCTGCCCCCGCTCTTCTTCCCCCCATCCACCATCACTCGCTGCTCTCTCCACCTCCCTCCTCCTGCCAGCTGAGCAGGGCTCGTGGGGGGGGGTTGGTGACTGGGGCAGGGCAGGGGAGGGGAGGTAGAGACGTGCTTGGGGCAGGAGTGGGAGCTGCCAGTACCTCTCTCCGCCAGAGCCATTCTTGTGCGCTCCTCCAGCCTCCGGCAGCAGCAGCTGCTGCTTTTCCCATCCCCTGGCAGCAGAAGCCGGTTACTGTGAGTAACCGGCATTGTAGTGTCTGGCCAGCAGTGCTCACCGGACACTGCCAGGTTCCCTTTTTGACTGGACTTTCCAGTCGAAAACTGGATATCTGGCAACACTAATGTCAGGGCAGGTACTGCAGTCAAGAGGGTAGAGTGGGGAGGCTACCACACTTTGGAGAGGACTCCAGGGCTGTTTAACTTAGGCCAGGGGCCTCAACAACTTCTGAAACACCTCAGGATTGGGTAGCTTCAAAGGTGGCTTAAAGCCACCATTGCTCTGCCCTCCTGTTGAGCTGTGAATTCTGTGCCAGGCCTCTCATCTCACCCAGGGAGTTTCATGAAGTATGGGGGCTTTAAGTGAAATTATGTCAGCAGGGCCTGTTATAAGGAGAACAAGGAGCGAGATTTTATGGGATTTATACTGTTTGTCACCATGGTAAATGAAAAGAATAAGTCAATAATACAATATCTCAGGCCAGTTTAGGCACCTGAGTCCCATCTGTGGCATCACTGCGATCCACTAAACTCCCACTTGGCGGCTGCCTAATCCTATAGGTGTCTAAATTTTCTAGGCACCTTAACTTTTTGCTGTCATAATTCCTTAAGCGCCTAAGTCTCAGACCCTGGGGCATGTGCACTACTGTTGCACTCTAGATGTGCGAATGCCTATTTCCTGCCTAAGGCCCAGAGTGATCTATGAACCAGGGGCAGATAGATGGAGGACCACCCATCCTGAATTTTGGGCCTGATCTGGTAGGCATACTCAGAGGCTGCCTACCACCTGCTGTACACCGGCCCAGCATAATATGGGACACCGATTGGTGCAGGGCACCACAGTCCATGCATATAACGCTCATTAGAGCCATAGGGGAGTGTAGGGTGAGTGAGTTTTCCAGTCTGAGCCAGAGAGAAGCGAGGGGATCTGTCCAGGGACACAACAGTTGGTAGAGCTAGGTGTAGGTGGTAGGGTAGCTGGACAGGAATGGGGAAAAGGTTAGCATAGCACACGGGTAGCTAGTGAGGCATCCAGATGTCAGGGAAAGCTTGGTCTAGCTAGATAGGGTTGGGGAGGGGAGCCACAAATAGTTAGGGCAGGGAGAGGTGGCATTTGGGGGAAGGAGAGGTGGCATTTGGGGGAAGGAGAGGGAAGTCTGGGAAAAGGCTAGGGTGGCTACCGGGAAGGGAGGAGGGAGGCCAGATAGCGTGGTCAAACATGATAAACAGTAGCATATTTGTGCTGCAACACCTGCTGTGGCAGTATCAGCAGGAGGTGGAGGAAGGAAGGTAGAGGACAGAGACACTCAAGGCTGAACCCGAAACCAACTGCCATGCATGGCCAGTCCTGAGACCATACCACCTCTGCTGCAGTTTCATGGGGACCTCCCAGCATGCATATATCCAGAGATCCAGGCAGGACCTGGACATGCTCCACCATCTTTGTGATATGCTGCAGGATGCCCAGTCCACCACCACGTGCAGGAGCCAAGCACAGTTTGTCACCTCACAGGTCAGCATGATGGCTGCAGGATCTTTTCAGTAGTCACCACACAAACAATTGGCACCAGCTGGTCTATGTCCTCTAAGGTGTCAGACCAATTTCTGGAGGCCATAATCAGACATTCATGTGAGTACATTGATTTCCTCACTGACCCAGACATACAGAGGGAAAACATGGTTGACTTCCTCCAGATTGCAGTCTTTCCATGTGTCCTCGGAATGGTTTATGGTACTTGCATCACCATTCAGGGACCCTGGCAGAATTCCCATGCCTACATAAGCCAACATTTAATGTACTCGATGAACATGCTGGCCACTTTGTCAAGTACCAAGGGTTGTGCCTACACATGGTTGCAATCCAGACTCAGAGACATGTTCCTTGAAGGAGCGTTTCCTCATGAGCTGTTGTTAGTTTAGACAGGGGTATGGCGATGGTCTTGCAGGGGTTGGAGGCTCCTAACATACGTTTAGTCCTAAGTATGAGAGAATATTACAGCTCTTGGAGGATATGGCTCTAGTTCCCCTTCCTCATTCCTACCTATCACCACACTCCACATGTTCCCCATGTGTGCTGTAGATTGTGTAATATTGCTATGCAGCAGGGGATTCCTGTTTCTGAGGGGTCACATGCAGAGGAGGGAAAGAGGAGGAGGAGGAAGAGCCAGGCTGTGGTTGCCAAGGAAAAGCACCGCTGGCATGCAAGATGAATATGTGACCAGAGGAGAGAGTCTTTGTACCACAGATGAAGGAGGATGAAGGAGGATCTCGGAGCAACTCCTACAAGAAGTGTTCTAGATCAGCAACAGGTACCTGTAGACTTTAAACTGATGTTAGCAAAAAAGGAAGATGGACTCCATGCTGCATGCCAAAACATGATATGTTATATGTGCAATGCAAATGCCCGGGGTGGATCAAAGTGCCTTGTGGCTGTGGTCCCTGTCTGGACAAGGGAACCAGTGACAGTGGAGTCAATGACCATGAAATGTGGCTACTGTGATCTGTAACCTATAAAGTGCACATGTCCAATCCATGCATTGCATTGTCCTCTTGCATCTGTCCTAGTGGTACTTACAGCATTGCTGGTGATGTATCCGCATGGGGTCCAACTTTCATATGGCCAGGGTGTTGAGGGTGACCCCTGTCACCCCCAAATGTTCTGGGAGTTGGGCCACCCACACTTCCTTGCTGTATACGTCCCTTTCTCTCCTTGCAATCGCCTGCAAGTCTGCCTTATTCTGCTCCTGATGGAATCTCCACTTCTTCTTAGTGTCCTTGGTTCCCCACCTGTGCCCTCCCAGGGGGTTGATCTAGTCCCTTAACTCTTCCCACAACCTGTCCATAGTAGAGGTGCTCATCTTCACTACTCTAGCACCCATTAATACCTCAGCATGGCTGATCATGAACTGGTTAATGGCCTCAATTTTGTCAGGTGTAAAACTGGCCCTTCTCTGCCCATACTGTGCTTGCCCTTCCTCCAGATATTCTCTGGCTTCTTCCTTGCTTCCTGAGCTGGTATTTGTCTTGGTGCTGGCTGAAATGAACTGGGGCTTCATCTTTTATCAACAGCTTGAAACGAGCAGTGATATGTGACCTCATGGACACATGTGTACCCATGTGTGGCTCCTGATCCAATCTCCGCTCATAGCCTGGCTGCCAGATATACGCCTACATCCAGCCCCATCTTGGATTTCCTGGGTCTGACTGTGATGTGTTCAGCTACATCATTCTAGCATGCCCTGAAATTTGCCACCTCTCTCTGATGCCCAGCTGAGCTTGGGCCTATTGCATGGTTGCTTGGCAACCGGCTGTTGGTGTCACCTATGCCGAGGCAGAGGAAGTGGAGAGAGGGAGGGATGGAAGGCCAGGAGTTTCAAAACAAAGAAATTACTATTGTGGACAGTGGGAAATGAACACCCGGGTACAGATATGTGCCACCGCACTTCTACTTACCTCCTCTTGTGTGTGGCCCTCATGGAGCGCATTGGTCAGGTCCCGGAGGGTTCCTCAGCCTGTCTGGTGGGACAGGATCTGTCCATAGGTTGCTGCTGCTGCTACTGCTCCTGCCGTTAGCTGAGTGGCTCCTGTGATTCTCCTCCTGTGTGCATGTGTTGCCGGTGAGTGCTGTGTGTGGTGAGTGAGCTCCTTTTTCATCTCAGGGACCTTGGTCTTGTAGGGGGTGGTGGTGTGGAGGCACAGAGCAGGATGGAGAGGGTGCAGGATGTGGGGGGGGAGGGTTTGGTTTGTTTTTGGTTTTTTTGGAGGCACTGCAATACCAGGTCAATGCATGGGGTGGACAGAGCAAGCCCCTATTCCATCCCCCTGTTTCAAAAATCAATTTAAGATACAGTCCTCAAATAAAGGACTGATCAGATATTAAACTGATAAGAACAGATATAACTTAGATAATTTTTGTACTTCACGGTCCAAGAGACACATGTAAGGTTTTCATCTCGGGGCCAAAAGACCAAAAACATCAAGACACTTGATCACAGCCTTGGTTATGTGAGGGAGCGGGTGGGGATGGAACTGATCTCTTCCCTGCTGGAACTGTGTGAGTATCAGTGACGAACGTGTTTATGGTGGATTTGTTTTTTCCCAGTGGGCTTCTGGGATCTTGTATACTTCTGGAGGATGAGACCTTCTATGTAAAACCAGCCTTATGGGGAAGACAGCCCCATTTCAGCTCCCATGGTACGAAACTGCTCCCAGCAATGTATAGATCGGATTAGGTGATACCAGCCTTTTGAATACCTCCAGGGCATAGAGCCATGGAGCTTCTGCTGCCATTAAATGCAGGGCATTTTTGATATGCTCCAGGATTTGATTGAGGGATAATTGGAGAATGTCCCTTGAGTTGGGTGTGGCAGGTTACTGAGCCAATGGAAGAGGGATATGTCTGTGATGGGGCAGCTTTCTCCTCTCTCCTCATTTTCCCTCAGGATCCACCCACCTCCCTGTGTGTTCTCTGCTGATTTTTAGGGGGGTATTTTAAACACGGTCATTTACACCTGTGCAAAGTGATGTAAAGTGCTTCTAAATCAGAATTCTCCACCCTATATCAGTGCAGTGTATTACACTCACTTTGCACAGGCGTCAATGACTATGCAAGTCAGTGACGAATCAGGGCCCTCTGAATCTATCCCAGTAGTACAATGGTATTTGAGAGTGCAGCAGCTGAGCCACTCCATGAAGTCAAATAGTTAATAGCTAGGCAGATGGTGAGCTAATACAACTGTTTATTATGCAAAACCAGGCTTGCTTTACTGTTACTTTGTCCACTTCCCATCACAGTGTTTGCCTGTTTGAGCCACCTGTTTGTATCTTGTCATAAACCAAGACTGTAAGTCTTGGAGTCTGGGAGAAGAACTGCATCTTTACTGCATGTCTGTACAGTGCCTAGAACAGTGAGTTGCTCATCCTTGATTATGCCCCCTGGGTTCTTTGGTACAACATGTAAGGATAATGTCAACATGTAAATTATAGTATGTAAACTACAGAGTCAGCATCCTACTGATCTGAACAGGGGACAGTTCACAACTCTCTAATATTTTTTCAGGCCTTTTGTAGACTCAGGAGGACAACATCTATTGGCTGATATTTGGATGGTTTTCTTCACAAACGTAATATTAGAGAATGGATGAGGCTACCCCAGGATGAACTGGAGGAGAGGGAAAATGATAAGCAAAGCACCACTGGTAGTATGCACAGACAGGAGAGGTAGCTGAGGGAGAAATAAGAGAGACAGGAAGAAAATCAGGAGACTACTGGATTGAGAGAGCCAAAAAATGACAGAGTAATCGTGTGTGTTGAAAACAGCAGAAGACTCTAGGAGGACAAGATTAGGCCCTTTTAGGAGTGGTCCAGAAGGAAGTCAGTTGTAAACTTGTTAAGAGCAGTTTCAGTGGCATGGAAGGGGCAAAACTGGATGGAAGGTTATATGAGAAAAGTAGAGGAAACTCAAGGCACTGGGAATAGAGTGCACACACAAAGATTCTCTAGGCAAAGTGGAGGTGGGAGATAGAGTTGTAGCTGGAGAGGCGAGTGTGGCCAATGAAGAGTTTTTATGACAATGCATATCAAAATTTTTATTCTAAATACAAACCTAGATGAGTGAGAGATAAAAATTCTATTGTTCAAAGCCTAAAATTGAGAAATATCATTGTTATCCTTGAATTAATTCTGCTTATATTTCTCAGATGTAACCTATACTGCCCACAGGGATACACATCAAATGTAAAAAATAGCAATATCATATACCCCGGATGAGACTCTCAGCTGGTGTAAATTGTTTTAATTCTCTGGATGTCAGTGGAGCTACGATGGCTTACGTCTTCTGGGAACCTGCCCCTGCCAGATTGTGCACAGGCAAAAAGCGACAGCCACTTGAATTTAATAGAATTCATGGGCATAGTGCCATAGAGATGTCTGGATAAGGAAATGGATGTGTTAGGGAAATGTACATCACAAAACATACAGGCTAAGTGGTGGTTTTGCGTTACCAAAAAAGGAAAAGCCAATCAAAACAGAAAACCCACACCACACACACAACCAAAAAATCCCCACTGACTTTCATGCTGGAAACTTCCCGCTAGCAATAGACCCAGAGGAAAGTCAGAATCACAAGTTACAAACCACCTGCCCCCCAGAAAAAGAGACCTCCCCCAAAACGAAAACAACCCCCCCCCCACATGCAAACTCAGTTTGTTTTTCCACAGTACTGACAATGGAAACATACTGATTAATGGTGTGGGGTTTAATTTCTACTGTGAAGGCTAGTTAGAGCTCAGTAACTAATGTGATTTAATAAAACAGATAACAATGCACTCCTGCATTCATCTTTTTCAAGTGGATTTTAATCCTGGAAAGGGCTCAAAACACTTTTAAAAAAGGTACTTAATTGCTCAAGTATGTGCAATTTTAAAATTAAATTGTGTCTATATGTCTAAATTAAAACACATACTCTGCCGAGGAGCAGCTGATTTCATCCAGACAGCCAGATTCAAATGACTGAGAAACCTTTGCTATATTATCACAAGCTTTGTGAAATTGTGGACAGTCTTAATAGTAGCCTTTGGATGTCTGTTCATAAGCAATTGTGATATATATATATATATAATGTCATCCATAGAGAGGGTGAAATCTTGGCTCCATCAAAGTCAATGATAGTTTTGCCTTTGACTTCAATGGGCCCAGGATTTCATCCATAATGAATATGTCTTCACAGGGCGTAAGCTAGAAAGATTCCATCCCTCCACATGCCTTCATGGTGAACAGGATTTATAATTTAATATCCATCAAAGTAATGATGTTTCTGAAGCTGAAAAGCTAATCTTCTCTTTCCCTGAGCACAGCTCTTATTAAAACATGCAGCCCAAATGACCATGGACACAATCTCCACCAGCCCAGTAGGTCTGTGCATGTTTCCTGAAGGGTGTGACAATCTGTCACTCAGCATGAGTATCTTACATTAGAACTGTTGAATTGTACAGCAGGTGTGTGAAGGAAGGAAGGAAAGCAGGCAGGCAGCCAGCTAGCCACCCACACATTGCTGCAACATGCCTGCTACAGCCTGCTCTAATACTGCTGAATGTAAGTGTCTAAAAATCCACTTGGACATTTTTAACTTTTAGGTCCCTGCCTTACCTTTTGGACATTCACTTGATGTGTACTGTGAGAGGTGTCTAGACAGATGTCTAGATAATTATATGGACAAAGAAATCCCATGTCTTGAATTAATTCTGTTGAAAATAGTAGGTCAGTAGGTAGGGCCAGCTCTACAAGCAGGGCAGAACAAGTGGTCACCTAAGGCAGCAAAAGAGTCTGTAAGTGGCTTTGTTTGGGCGACTAAGGGCCAATAAAGGATAAACACTTGCTGGTTTGCTTAGGGCAGAAGAAGCCCTAGGGCTGGTCTGGCCCTGTAAATGGGCTAACATTAAAAAGTACATTGGGACAGGACTAGCTCAAATTTCATATAGTAAAATCAACATGAGATTTTTATGGGGTTTCCCACCTAAATGCTAGCCCAGTAAATAAAAAAAAAGTGCTTACAGAAATGTTGCATTATCTGTAGTAGGCAGTGTGAAGTTACCCTCTTGCTGTAAAATATAAACAGTCTGCATCTAGGGTTTGCCAGCTTTATTTAGTTATTTATTACTACTAAGCAATGAGATATTTTTAAATGTCCTTCCCCACTAATGTAATACATAATGTACAATGCTGTTAGTGGGAGAAAAAAATGGCTTAAGGGAATAGATAATGGGCTGTAAAGCTTTTCACCTCTAATCACTAGTTCAAATCCAGGTCAGGCTGGTAATGATCAAGAGTGGTTACTATCTGATTGTTGTTTGGTAACCTGTGGGAAATTGGTTTGATAGATTAGATCCAATGGACATGTATTTACATAATAAAAATATCACTATACCTGTTAGTCATTGGCAAACTTCCTTGTAGTCTCAGGAAAGAGGCCAAAGACTGGAATGGGTATAGACACTGAAATATCCTCTACTCCCCTGGTGCAGGGTTGAGGCAGATTTGTGAAGCAGTATGGGGGCTGCTTGCATTGCTTGTGCCTGTCTTGAACAGCCCCTGTTCTATGAAACTTTGTTAGCCTCTTTCTGGCACTGGTCAAGATGGCTGTCTCTCAGACGAGGAGGAGGAAACTTGACTGCTAGGAACTCTTTTTGCCTGCGGGGCTGTTTTCTGGGGGCTCATACATGCACACATTTGAACAGAATTCCTCTGGGCAGTGTCCACTGACTCACTCAGCGCATTCTCAGAGCAATGGGCACTGTCCAAGGTTCTTTGCACTGGGTTCCTCTCTGGTTCCCAGTTACTGTTCCTCTAAACCCACTCCTCTCGCTACCTATTTTTGGTTGTTCCCTGCAGTTAGTTGACTTCTGTGTCTTGGTGGCCCTACCCCTCTTCTGAAGGTGAGGCCACTGTTGTTCCAGCAGAAGAGCCCATTTCCCAGAGGTCAAATAGACTGACCCCTTTGAACACCAAATCCACATAAATTTCTTTTTAAAAAAATAACACACTAGCTGTCAGACTGTGTAGTGGCTTGGCAGTAAAGTGACAATGTTGTTGGTGGCCTGAGCCATTCTGTAACCTTCTTTAGTGGGTTTTAAGTTGTCAGTAACTCAGTGGATTCTTTCTGATTTGCCAGGATCTAAATTCTATTCCATTCATTGCAGCTCGAACACTGATGTGCAAACAGTTAATTCACAAGTACACATGACATTAAGAAACTAATGCTTTGACTGTGCTTCTGTGCTCCCTTATATCTAACAGGATATTTAATAACTTTAATGTGCAGCAGAGTACAGTGCACAGAACATGTTAGTATGCCAGGCATACAGTACTAGGATCACTAGAATTAGGATTACTGTTTGACTAGAATATGCACAAACCTCCATACTATGATGGCATGAAG